TCCCACAAAATGACCACAAAGGATACTCCTGGGTCTTTGACAGTTCCTTCCTTCCTTCCTTCCTTCCTTCCTTCCTTCCTTCCTTCCTTCCTTCCTTCCTTCCAAATAAGGCATATTTTACTCCCAGGACAAGTAATCTAAAGAGCAAGCTTAATTCAGGAGCACCACACTCTTACAGTAAATTGTTTTTCCATATTGTCAAAGCAAACACTTGTGGAAGGTTATTATGGAGTACATAAATGGGCACATGAACTTTAGCCATAGTAGAGACACAGCACTTATTCTGTTGGTCATTGCAAGTTTCATAAGCAAGAGCTGGCTCACTGTCATGGCTGAATGATTCTATCTCCTCTATGAGTAAATGTCAAGCTTCTAATCTTTAGGAAATGAGTCCCATATAATGTTGTTTGCTACAGAACCTCCAGGCCTTGGAAAAGATTCAGGGGTGTATTCAAGGATACACACAGTTTGCCTAGCTATTAGCAGCTTAGTGAAAGCATCTGCTTGGCATGCCAAAGGTTCCAGATTCAATCTCCGGCATCTCCACTCCAGTTAAAAATGATCAAGTGGTATACATGAAGCTGCATTATACTGAATCAGACCACTGGTCCATCAAGGTCAGTATTGTCTACTCAGGCTAGCAGCGAATTTCCAGAGTCTCAGGGACAGATCTTTCACATCACCTTCTACTTGATCTTTTTAACTGGAGAGGCTGGAGGCTGAACCTGGGGCACTTTCTGCATGCCAAGCAGATGCTCTTCCACTGATCCATGGTCCCTCCCTAACAGATGATATGAAAGACCTGTATCTAACACCTTGGCGAGCTGCTGCCAGACTGAGCAGACAATACTGAAGGCAACAGACCAAGCGTCTGAGTCCGTATAAGGCAATTTCATGTGTCCATATGTACCATATTCTTACATTTTTGTAGTGTGCCATAACTGCCCATGCAACGGTGCTGTATAATTCAAGGGGGAGACAGTAAAACTGTCTTTTGTGTAACTTGTCTGCTGTCTACAGTCTTTTTATCAAGGGACCTGACAAGCTTCTAAAGAACCTCAGAGATTCGAGAAATACAGTTTTTAAAGCACTGTGGGACCTTGGATTGTTTCCTAGCTGTGATACAACTACTAGTTTCCTAGCCTGACTCAGGCACTTCTTTCCAGACTCAGAACAAATGACTTATTCTTCTTGACCTGAACCCAGACACCATATTTTCTTTTTACTATTCCTCTTAAATTTGTTTCGTATCTTCCAGTTTCTGCAAGATACAAAACACAAATTCTTGAGCCAGCACCTAGATTCAGTGCTAACATTTTAGTGCACACTCTAACATCAACCTTTGTGCTTTCCTAAATTACAACTAGCTGAGGCACTAATGAGAGAGAGAGAGAGAGAGAGAGAGAGAGAGAGAGAGAGAGAGAGAAGCAGTTCTAAAACTTCATTATGATAAGAAATCTGAATTAAAGGTTTATGGGCAGCCTTAATTTTAGTACTTTCTGGATCTCCAACAATTTGTTCTCTACATTACTTTAGGTACCTTTTATATTTAATTTGTAAACAGAAATTATAAAAACTATGCATTGACAGATATGGAAGATCATGTTTAGGAAGAAGCTTCTTGCTCAGCTGGCATTTTAGTTTCAGCTTTTGTTACTTCCAACAACAGAGCAATCATAAGAAGTCAAAAAGAAAAGTGAATGTATGTAGCATCAGGATATTTGTAAAGGAAATACACAAACCAGAAATACACAGACCTATTGATACATACACAAACCAGAAATACACAGATGTATTGAAATACATACCACCACACAAAGCAATTCAACTAAGGTCATTTTTTTAAAAAAAGAAATGGTTTAAAAACCCATTAAAATCAGTCATCATGGAATGGCAAATTATGGCACTCAGGCACACTCAATCAATTATCTCCCTCCCGCCCTCCCTCTCCCTCTGTGCCCTCTCCTTCAATTACTTCTTGTTTAGCATTACATCTGAATTGGCAAATTATGGTTTATGTTTGCCCTTCAACCCTGGATGGCAAAACATAGTTTAAGCCAATTTGCAATCCTGATTTGGAGAGCAAGAAACAACTATAGTTTGCTGGTTCAGATGAAATGGCAAGCTACAGTTTGTGGTATACAGGAATTAACTAATTGAATTGAAATAGTAGAAGAAAACATTGGATTTATACCCCGCCCTTCACTACCTGAAGGAGTCTCAGAGTGGCTTACAATTCCTTTCCCTTCCCCTCCCCACAACAGACACCCTGTGAGGTAGCTGGGGCTGAGAGAGTTCTCTCAAGAACTGCCCTTGGGATAACAGCTCTGAAAGAACTTATGACTGACCCAAGGTCATACCATGTGGAGAAGTAGGGAATCAAACCCAGTTCTCCCAGATTAGAGTCCACGCTCTTAACCACTACACAAGGGGAGCAGGGAGGAGAAGTTTGAACCCACCCCAAAAGCTAGCTGGCTTCATGCAAGAATGCTTCTGCTATTACTTTCATTTAGAGAGATATTACATTTTCTTCTATATTTTTAAACTTATCTAGAATTCTGGCATCTGTAAACAATATACTGTTCCTGTACTGATTTCAAAATGATCAGATGTATTCTGTGAGATGTGACAGTTGGCAGAATACGCTAGGAGTGGTATGGAGGATTCATGTTGTAGTGTTTGGACATTTTGATGACCTGCTCCATAACTCCATCATTTTTATACACTCTTTAGACATCCATCTTCTTTTTACTAAATATATGCAGAATGGAGTAGAATCACATCTATTAGCCAACATGTTCAGGCAAACATCTGCATCAAGCCCTTATGCATGTAACAAATGTACACACACAGGTTCCTTCATAAGATCAGGAATGCAATGTCTGCAGAGGGCTTACTTACATGCTTCCAGAAATGACATTTCTTCCTTATTTCATCTATACTGTAACAAAAGTGAAAGAACTGTCTTCTTGTTTTATAAAATGTATGCATGTGTCGTAACCAAAATTTTATTAGTGCTGAAAAGCACATCACTTATTTCTACTACATGTTCTCAAGTTTATGAGGAGGGCCCCAGGCTAAGAACAGTTTTCACTGCATGTAATTCCATAACATTGTGCACAAAAATAGCCCATGAGATACAGCAGGCTATAAAATATAATAAATAGGCTTATCAACTTAATCAAATGTATTTAAAATTAGTTTAAACATCTTGAATTGGGTTAATTTAAGTCAGCTCCCTTCAATTTCACCTAAGCATTCATAAAAGACTGTCAGGACTGGAAACAGCTGTTATACACCTGCCCAGGGATATTTTCACTTCTGGGATGCTACCATACTGTTCTTCCCAGAATCTCAAATTACAATTTTTGAAATGCCATGCTGGGTTTCACATTTTAATAAAGTTAACTTAGAAGAAAAATTATCAAGTTTCTCTCTCTCTCTACAGAACTGCACTGATTTAGCTAAATAATAGTTTGAACGCAACAATTCATTGGTGCAAAACATATTACAGGCTTTATAAACCTACACTCACAGAACTCTTGCATGAAGCTGGTAAAGCTACCTGTTTTCTGCTATGGAATTCTTGCCATATTTCAGTCTACATCCAAAAACAAACATTTTACAGAATAAAATACTGAGTGGTAGGCCTAAAATTACCAGTCAACGGTGTTTGTCTACTAATATTACCTGACCCACTTTAAAGCTTAGCAAGGCAGCCATTGCAGTCACAAGACAATTTCACTTTTAACCTGTTTTGACAAAAGCCATTGCCAGAAGAAATGCTGTTGGCAACTGCACAGGGGACCTTAAAAACTGATGCTTTAATGTGAAACTTTCCAATTCTAGAACACTGTCTGCAAACATATGTTGCTGCTTCAACTCCACAAGTAGATAATGCCTCTAGCACCAGGATTGCTACTACTTTTTGCTACTAATACTTATTAATCATGTGTTCACTTGTAATCTGTATAGTTTGTATTGTAATGCCTCGTAACAGATAGGTCATCATCATTCCTGTTTTGCAGCTGGAAAGTAGAATCTGAGAAAGTTACTTGCTCAAGGCCTAAGAGTAACTTTATGGAAGGCGTACAACTTTGGATCCTGTGCCAGATCTAGACTACAGTGCCTGTTCTACATTTCCTGACTCTTGTTTTTATCAGTCACCCTTCTGCTCCACTTTAGCTGGCTAATCCAAAGTAGGAGAAGCCCTCCAGGATTCTGCCTAGCATCTTCCTCTCCCAGCAGCAGTTCTTTCTAAGTATCCATTACAAGAGGCCTGGAAACCAAGACAAGCCCACAGCCAGAAGAACCACTCCAGCCAGAGTCAGCCTGCACTATGGGAGGGTTTGTATTGTTTATTCAAAACAATGCATACAAAATGTTCTATCATTCGTTCAACGCCATGCAACAATAAGTTAAGCGCTACAAGTGTCTCGGGGCACACGTCCTTTTCCGGGAGGCACCCACTTTGCCACAGTTTCCCAGCTGGGTGTGTGTGTGTGTGTTTGCACGCATCTCGATTTCAGCAACTGCCTGTAATGTCCAACAATACTAAGGTGAAGCAGCGGGCGCCGGTCATCTGGGGTGGCTGAACCCTGAAATAAGCAGATCAAGGCACAGAGCCACCCCCGCCCCACCCCCGGTATGTTCTCCGCTTCCCCACTCCGCCCCACAGGAGCTCTGTTTCCCTTCCTGAGCCTCGGCTGTCACCTTCGCGGGGCCAGCTGAAGCGCCCAAGTGCCCCGAAGGAGGTCAACATTCCTGAGGCGCCCGCACTTTCGTCCCCGGCCGCTCCCTCCCCCCCCCCCCTCGCCCTCTTCGGTCTTCTCCGCCCCCTGTCCCAGCCGAGACACACACAGCGTGCTTCCAGTCCGCCCGCGAGAGGGCTGGGGGAAGGGGCTGCTGCCGCCGCCGCCTCATTCGCGCCAGTTTCTCGCTCAGCCCCTTGCGGGCAATGAATAACAAACAGGCGGCCGCCACAGCCGCGCAGCACCTACCCGATGCCGGGACGACTCCCTCTCCCATCCCGGGGCGCTCTTCAGAGGCGACCCTCCTCCGGCACCCTCTGGGCTGAAGGCGGCTCTGCCTCTTTTCCTGTCCCTTCCGCACAACGAAGGGGGCGCCCAAAGAACGCGTCCAAGGGAGAGTGGGGAGGGGAGGAGAAAAGGAGGAGAAAAGCCGAGGCAGCGGCGGATCCTTGCCAAGAGAGGGCCGGGCCGCTGGTACAGCACAGCAGAGAGCGCTCTCGCGAACTCCGAGGCGGGACCTTTTTCATTTTAGGGCCAACTCCTAATTTTAGGGCCAACTCTGCCTTCAGCCTCCCGGGACTGCTCGCGCCTTAAGGCCCAGGCGGGAGAAGGGTGTCATGACAGACGACGGGCTCTTCGTTCAGTCCCATCTTCTTCGACGGTCTCTACCGAGGGAGCGGTCGCGGCCGTCGCCCTCCCGGGACCCGGGGAATCGGGCAGGCAGTTCTTGTGGAGTTCAGGCGCGTTAGGTGGGCGTTTAAAACAAAAGGCCAACGCCCTCCTTAGCAGAAATCGGGAGTTCGGCTTGGCGGGCGCTCTGCTAACTTGACTAAGGAAGGCTGTGCAAGAATCGTGGACGTTCTTGAAGGACTCGAAAGAAAAAACAATTCAACGTTTTATTATCCACTTTATGAACCACATGACTGGTGCAGCTTAACTCAAGGCTTTGTAACCTTCAGGTCTGGCGTATCTGAAATGCCAGCTGCCGTTTCCTGTCACTTTTGACTCCAGGGTGGTTTCAGTTGTTTTCGCATACGAAACACAGCCGCCTCGCTCATTTTCGCTCCAGCTTGCTCTCGCCGCACCCATCTTGCTCTAATCAACTCCGTCTCCAGCCTGATGAAGTTGGCTCTTCGTTCAATCCAGTCATGCAGATGGAACAAGGATTTTAACGGGTCTGCACCCTAGCATAACTTTTGGATCAAGCATCCACGTTACTAGGACACTCACTTGTGAGATGCCCTTACAGCGTGCCAGGCCAAAATCTGGTTCGCCACAAAGGACTCCAACGCATGCCCTCAATAATCTTATACAAACAATGGATTTTTTTTTTAAAAAAAAATTGCACTCCAAAATAACACTTTACCCCTGCAAGTTATATTTTTTTGCCACCAGGAAGCTGGTCCCTACTATTCACCCAAAGCATTTTACATGTAATAATATACATTCAAATAATTTTTTAAAAATCTGCATGGCCTTATTTTCAAGCCCAAAATTAGATAGAACATACTAGGCAGGTCCCATGCCTTTTTCAGGGGCTTTCATTGCTGTAGGTCTGGCAGTGTTCATACCGAGAACACTGATTTGATCTCAGTACAGCAAAATTCTACTTATGTGCCCCCAGTTCCCTGAGTGACCATGCACTTAAGGGGCAGCACTACAATGTTATTTTATATTAATATTGGAAATGTATGGTGCCTTTGTGATATTTGTTTTATTACAAATATTGAAGCGGAACACAGTGGATGCAAATGGGCACACTTCTACCCAGCAGCAAATTCCCAGAGCTGCACTGTAGAGATGCTTTGGTTTCTGTCAGTTGACAACTGTTTCTTCATCTTTGTCTGTCTCTTCTATTTCAAAATGCAAAACTCCCTTTGGCTGTCTCTCTGCCCTTCCTTCTAGCTTTGAAGGTTGGATTCCAAGCCATTAAGGAAAACATCCATACTAATTAAGAAACACCGGCATTCTTTCATCAAGTTTCTGACTTCTGTCAGGTAACACTTTAGGCAAAACCATAGTGATCAACCAATTCAAATAATAAAGTCAGGAAAAACTCATAACACCATGATGGCTGCTTTTTATGAAATACTGCTTGTCAGGATTTTCTCCTTGTAGACTAACTCATTCTCTAGTCCGGGGTAGCAGTAATAGCAGAGACGGAATAGTTTGTGAGAAGTTGCTACATGGCAGAATCTTCTACCTGGATCACTGTTTGCAAAATATGATAGTAAGTTTCAAGCAGCTTGGCTTGTCAAGATCTGTCTGTTCTGCACACTATGGCCCCAGTCACACGGGCCAGATATTGTGGGAGGGGGGGAGGCGTGGCTAATTGCCCTGGAGGAAACTAACGCGCTGCTTCCTGAGCACACGTTCCAGTCGAGGGCATGGTTAGGGGGTAGATGCCGACCAGACGGGTATCCTGCAGCGCAGCACAGAAGCCGCGCCGTGCGATTGCACTAGCAATTGCTCTTTGTGCGCATGTGCTGTTGGGTGCTGTAGTGCAACCTGCGGAGACGGGCGCCGGATGCCACTTAAGTCCACCGGAAACGCGATCAGACGCCCGCCCTTGGCCCGCAATTTCCAAAAGCTAGTACCTTGGAGGTACTAGTTTTTTACTCCGCATCTTCGGCGGGAAGCCTCGGGTTAGCCACGGGAGCTGTATGCTTCCCAGATGTTGCAGTGTGATCACGCCCAGAAAATCTGCCTACCATCCGTATCGTCAGCATGGCAAATGCTCCGTGTGACCGCAGCCTATGTTACACTAAGTCAGAAACAACAAAACTAAATATGAATCATGATGTACTTGTTCCAGTCTCATGAGCAGCCAGAAATGTTTACATGTCAAAATACCATGGAATAGTTTCTGGTCCATGCATACTGAACTATGATATCTTTTTTCCCTGTCTGTAAAAATTCTGTTTGCCAGAGTATCTTGGCTATCTATTAACTTGTTCTCCACCACTTCAGGCATAGCAAAGCAGCACAGGGCATGTTTATGCCATTCTTATCAGTTGTTGGAAATTGCTACATGTCCAGATCCGGAACACAATCTGTATTTCCATTATTGAAATCTGTTGGAATTCAGAAAGCCCCAATATGCCTGGCTACTTATTTTTCTAGGGTTTATTATTATTGTTGTTGTTGTTGTTATTGTTGTTGTTATGCCATTAAAGCTGTCTGGATCTGAATCTGTTTTTCTAGTTCAGACATAACAAAACTATGTGACTGTATACCAGTCTCATGCATTGTCAGACACTGTTATAGATCTGAATATTACAATGCCATCCTGAGAAGAGTTATACTCTTCTGAGTCCATTGAAATCAATAGGCTTAGAAGGGTAAACTCTGGTTAGGATGGTACTCTTAGAGAGCAATCTTAACAGTGCCTACTCTGAAGTAAGTCACATTTTATTCAATGGGATTTAGGAAAGTGTTCTTTGGATTACAACTTTACAATGCAATCCTAAACGAAGTGCACTCTTCTTTGACTTCGTTAGTTTTAGAATAGTATAATTGTGTTTAGGATTCCACCATTGGTCTCCTATCAGGACTTTAATTTGCATCTCTGCTCCCAACATTAAAAAAAGGATAGGTGGCTTTTAAAAAGAACCATAATGTGTGAGCATAACTATTGGTGCAGTAATAAGAGTCTGTGTAAAGTGTTGTCAAGTCACAGCTGAGTTATGGCGCCCCCAGGTGTTTTCAAAGCAAGTGAGAAGTAGGAGGGCTTTGCTATTGCCTTCCTCTGCAGAGTCTTCCATGGTGGTCTCCCTTCCAAGTACAAACCCTGCTTAGCTTCCAAGATCTGACAAGACTGTACTATACCATGCTGCCATCTCTCTGTGTGGTAATATATTCTCTAGTTAATCTGCAGTAAAATAATACCAGCAATATTTTTTTGCATCATGAGTTCTGATAAGTTTGTACATAGCAGCATCTCCATCCTCAAGTACTCTGTCTTTTTAGTCCAAGGATTGCAAAAAAGTTAGCTGATTACAAAAAAGATATGGTGTATTTGTGCCAGTTGCATAGGTTGTGAAAAACTGTGATATGTTCAGATATCATACCAGGAACATGATCTAAAACTAGTCCAGGTTTTGGCAAAACATGGTATATTTAGTGCAGAAACAATAATATGAGGGACACTCATGCCAGACTTAGGAGCTGCGGTGGCTCAAGTGGTTAAGACGCTGAACTGCAGACTGTGGAAGGTCGGTAGTTCAGCAGTTCGAGACCCAAGTGCCGCATGACGGAGTGAGCTCCCGTCTCTAGTTCCAGCTCCTGCCAACCTAGCAATTCGAAAGCAAGAAATTGCAAGTAGATAAATAGGGACCACTTCAGTGGGAAAGTAACAGCATTCTATGCGCCTTGGTGTTTAATCATGCTGGCCACATGACCACGGAAACGTCTTCGGACAGCGCTGGCTCTTCAGCTTTGAGATGGAGATGAGCACTGCAACCCTAGAGTCGGATTGGACTGGCTTTCGAGCAAGGGAACCTTTACCTTTTACCATGCCAGACTAACAGGATGTTGAAAAATATATTGTATGCCTGGATCTTCTTCCTACCAGTATCTTGGGCTGGTTTTGAAAATTTGCCAGGGTTTCCTATCTGTTCCAGTAGTTTAGTCTCTGTTTCAGGGGCATATAACCATTTGGAACACACTTAATTTACTTGCCTGGGGTTAGTGAAATATGATAGCTGATTCTCAAACAGCTTTGTTTGTATACACTTTTTGGACATTAGCTTGTACTCCAATGCAGGGACAGTAAAGGTATATGAATGTGGAGTGCTTCTAGCTTGCTTGTAACTTTCTGATGAGTTTGTGTAAACTGTCACATGGCAGGAGCCCTATCTGTAATACAGTCTGATGTTCCAATCCACATGTAGCAAAACACAAAAATCGTTTTTCTAAAATCACTGCTTTTTTGAGGGGGCACCGTCAGCTCAAGGGTAGCAAATCAAGATAGAATGTTATTGTGACAGACTTCAGGGTTATGAGAAATTGCTATATATCAGAGTCACTCATCTGAAGCATAACCTGCCTTTCTGATGTTGGTGAAACATAATGGTTGATTTCTTATGCCACAAATTGTGGGAATTAGGAGCTACACTGAATCTTTGATGTGTTGACATTTATTGACAGGGCAACAGGAGAAAATGCCCAAACTTTTTCAGCCAAAGTGTGATTAACACATGGAATTCACTGCCGCAGGAGGTGGTGGCAGCTACAAGCATGGACGGCTTCAAGAGGGAACTGGATAAACATATGGAGCAGAGGTCCATCAGTGGCTATTAGCCACAAGGTATAGGTAGGAACTCTCAGTCTGGGGCAAGTGATGCTCTGTATTCTTGGTGCTTGGGTGGGCAACAGTGGGAGGGCTTCTAGTGTCTGGGCCCCACTGGTGGACCTCCTGATGACACCTGGTATTTTTGGCCACTGTGTGACAGAGTGTTGGACTGGATGGGCCATTGGCCTGAACCAACATTGACTTCTCTTATGTTCTTATGTGGGAAAGTAATTTTTGGGGCATTTCATACAATT